CTGCAATTAAAAAAAAAAGTGATTTATTTTTCTTTCATTTCTTTCCTTTCTGTCATGTGATTCATTTGATTGTTACCTCATCTCTAAGGGCCTGTGTTTTACTCCAACAAAGCCTTTTGCTGAGCCAAGGAGCCTGCTGCAAGTTAATACACTATTGCCCTGACCAAACCTACAGGTTTAGGAAGTCTTTGCAACATTGTTTTGTTTCCTTTTAAAACTATTTAGGGAAAAAAAACCTCATACTACTGGATCAATAAGGGCTGTGTCACTGATGTATATTGCATATATATATAGAAATATATATAGTATTTTAATATATAAAAATATTGCTAAAGTTTGTTTGACAGTCTGCAAGCAAACTGTATTAGTTTTAAGTTTTGTCTTTTGACAGTCGCAATACTCTGAAGGCTACGGTTACACCTACAGCTATCTCACATACCAGCAGTACATCCCTGTCTCGGTCGCAGAACAAAGGGGAAATAAATACAACATAGTAAACATGCACTTTGATTTTCTGCAAGATACTCCGTGTGTTAGAGCTGGTCTTGCAATCTGCTGTACCAAAAATACCAATTAAATTCTGGTAACCAACTTAGTAATGGGCACTAGTGTGAAATTGTAGGTGAGGAGATAAATGGCTTTCTCAAGAAGGAAGATCTCTTACAAAAGACTTTCAAGGTAATCAAAGTGAATGTAAACATGTTGGTAAATTGTAAGCTCATGAGTAACCGAGCCAGGTAGGCACTCTGCTGGCCACTGGTTAGGTTGCTCTTGGGCCACAGATGCTGGATTGTTAAAGGTGTTTTTAAAGGTGAAGTCTGGGAAATTCTCCTTTCATGGGATCATTAGGAGCCTTCCCTTTGACACCCTATCCAGAGAAGACAACATCCCTGGGCCTGTTGCCTGTCTCTACAGATGCATCTGCTCAGGTTGCCTGCACTGCTTAACTACCTTGTCAAAGGCATCTAAGCCATCGTTTATTTTACAGTAGCCATGTGAGTCAGTGTAAGCAATCAGGCACATCTAGCTACAGATAAGCCCTGCATATTGTTGTTTCCTGATGACTGTTCTCTTGTAGCTGCGTGTAGGATGTTCAGAAGCAAAACTTCTGAACCCTGAACTAAAATTTTAGATAGCCAGATCTAGATATGCATTTTCAGATTTAATCTGCTTAGTAAAGTTAACAAAGACTAAGCATTGTGCATTAAACTTTTCATTTTGTTAAGCAACAAGCAGTTTGAGGATAGTATTTCTGCCAGTACTAAAGTTACAAGATGGCATTGTCTGAAGACAATATGTCTCACGTATGTCTGAAGACATAACTCCAATTTTTGTATATCCTTTGGCTTTCTGTCAGTAACCAAGGAGCATCGAGTAAGTATTTTTCCTGTAATTGAATATAAGAAGATTACACAAACAGTGGGTGGAGAAAATAGCACTGCTTATAATTACTGTGTTGATAAGATATTTAGATTTTTCCATGTTATTGAAAACCAGGTGCCCAGCTGCCTGGAAATCACACTGATATTGTACTTGTACATTTCCAGATATTTCATCCTGATCCTTTTGCATTTACCAATATCTGATGTCTGCTCATCTTCTGTATTCTTATTTAGATCCGTTCTTGGAAAAGTCACTTCTCAGTAAAATGCTAGCGAGAGGTTATTCTGAGAGTCGTTGGTACTGCATGTTCAATTGATATGGCTGCTTTGAAACTCACCTGATGCTTCCTACTGTAAGTCATTGTTATTTTTTTACTTATCACTTATACCTTAACAATGTGGCTACAATTTCCATGCTAGCTTGCTGACTCTTTCTGGAAAAACACCATTCATGTTCAGTGTTTTCAGAGGTGAACTGGCAAAATGTACTTGCCTGCAGAAAACTCTTGAGGGCTCTTGAGAAGACTCCAGCATTTCAGGCTTTGACACAAGTGCTTAGAAATCACCAGTGAGGTAGCCTTTGCATCAAGTGCAAAGATACATTTGTGATCTCCTGAAAATCTGCTCCAACTGGCTCATCTGTACACCTTTGAAAATATGTTTGCATCTGGTCACTGCTAGAGCTTAAGATCTAAATGCTTGAAGTCTGCCCTCATTGAGAGGATCAAGCTTCTTGCAGCCCTTCACTTTTAAAATCTTTCTAAGGAAAAGAAAGTAGACTCCGTTGTAAACCCACAGAGCTGAAACAAGAAGACTCCACCCAAAACAAAGCTATATTCAAGGCCGGTGTAGAGCATGTAGAGCTCAGAGGAAAAAGTCTAGAGAGCTTTGGCTAAGTGTTGGCTGGGCGAGGGGCTTGTGGAACAGTGAGAAGATACTATCCTTTGCTGTTCTGGGAAGCAGGAAGGACTTTGGGAACGTGCAGGAGTATCCTATGTATTCAGTATGGCATTAGAAAGAACTCTTGACTGCAACACTGTGTTATCATTGCTAATTATCCGGCTCAAAAGAGGCGGACAAGCTGTTCCCAACTCAGTGGAGAACTGGTCCTTCTCAGTGTTCCCCAAAACAGAAAGCAAGTCTGGGGACAAGTGCACTTTCCTGCCCTGGGACTGTGTACCTGACCTCAGGGATGGAAGTGTGTGCGTGTGTGTGTGTATGGATATGTGTGTGTGTATATATATACACACATACACATCCCTCCCTCCCATAACTGCCCATGTTGTGGAGAAGATTCAGACTGTTGGTTGGTGGATATCAACACTGATCAGTGAGCGGCCTCTTTAGCCAAACCTATGCTCTTGTAAAATGAATTTTTATCAAGATTTCTTACTATAGTCTGGTATGCATTCCTTGCTGTCTCCCAGACTGTATCCCTCCAAGGCATGTGATTTTTATAGGGAAGAGCTGCTAGGCAAAAAGCCAAAAATTCTGAAAGATCTCATTATATTTTGTGCTTCCACAAACTAAGCCAAACCACTTTCAAAGCAGTCTTTGTAAGGTGCTGGATACGCGCAGTTTAACATTGAATAAACTAACAAGTGTCTTCCTAATTATGTTCACACCAAGGTCTCACCCTAAAGTTATGGCAGGTGAGTGTTACCCAATTGGCTTTACCACCCCACAGTAAAAAATGTACGTTTGTTGACACAGGCTTTGTATGGAAATACCCTGGTCATCTTTTGGTTGGGCTGTGTAGGCCCAGCCACGGGCACAGACTGGGGAGGAGGACGAGAGGCGGAGAGGAGGCAGACACTGGCTTCTCAATCAGCACTGCTGCTAATCGTCCTTCTGCAGCTACGGTATGGGTCTGCTGTTAAATGCAACAATACATAAATTCATTAGGCACTATCAGTATATTTAAACTGAAATGAAAGCAGACATACAACGTCAACAAAACGCTACCCTCTAAAAGTTTCCTACAGTCCCTCCTCCCCCCATCTGCCTTGCTTATGGCATTTTCTCAACCTTCCCCAGGGCTCTTACACTTAATTCCATTCTTTTTGCTTGTTTTTACTACTGATATTGCTGTTCTTAATATATATTATCCTGTTTGTTTCTGGTAAGGTTCCTAAATGTGTTTTGACAGTAAACCTTGTAATCTGAAGTACTGCGGGGGACTTTACTGTTAGGAGATGAATATTGAACACAGCAGCTGTCAGTCACGTACCAGTCCTCCGTATGTTTTGGTTCAGACAGTTCCCCCCACCCCCCGCTCTGTTTTTATCTTGTCTGAACGTGACATAAAAGAATGGTCCTTTTTTTGCTCCAAGTTCCTAGTTTGGAGAGGGTTTGGGGAAGACGAGAAGCGACTGAGCGCGCAGACTGTGGACAGGGTTACCCTCCGCCAGGGAAGTGCTGCTGTTCCAGCTGGGATGTCCCCCGCCGTCGGCGTCCGCCACGCTTAAGGAGGGTCAGAAGCTGTGCTGGCCTGTGTGAAAACGGCGGCGAGTAGGGAAAAAAAGACAGAATTGTATACTTGCCCTCTTGGAGGCAGTAATATCTGGCTTAGTCCCTAGAAAAGGGGCAGCTCTGTCTCCCCAGCTGCATTTTAAAAATGGGAACCCATGAAAAAGTTTGATCCTCCTTTTCAGCAAGAAGATCTTTGCGTGCCCACTAGTTTTTAATGTTTGCTGGGGAAACAGCTAGCAGTGTGATAACCCCGGGATGCCATGTGGAAAAGCAGCTTTTTCTTCTCCCTTTTAGGGTTTCAAGGAAAAAGGAAAAGAAAATGGAAAGAGGAGAAAAAAAAGAAGAAGAAGAAGAAGAGAGGAGAAAGGGGGAAAAAAAAAAACAAAAGAGAGCCGAAATAAGCAGTGGGAAAGCTGGCAGGCCGGCACGCCATGCCCGCCCCGCAGCGCCGGCAGGGGGTGAGGTGAGGTTCGCCCGGGCCGGGGCCGCCGTGCGCAGCCCCCGCTCGCCCCACCTTCCCGGCCGCGCC